ATCCTCCATGGCAGGGACTGAGCCGAGCTGCCTGCTCAGCCTGTTTTTCTGTTTCGGCTTGGCCATTTTCCTCCATCAGACCTCAGCCTGAAAGTTTTGAGAAGTGCAGCGTCAGTCATGGCGCAGTCCCCGGGCAGATGGGAAATCCTTTCCGCACTTGGTGAGTGTCTCGCCTGGCTTAATTCCACCACCTCAGGTACTAGAGACCCCCTGTCTCTGCCCATCCTCTGGCCGACATTGAAGAGATCTGTTTTATTCTAGTGCTTCCTCCTTTGCATATTCTTGCGTGTGAACCGACCTTCTCTGCACCGTGCCAGGCTCAGGAGGGGTAGCACCGGCTGGCTGTCACCTCAGCGCCTGTTCAGCCTGTGAGCTAAGGTGCAATACTCCTGTCTGCAACTGCACTGGCTCGTTGGCTTCTCCTCAGAACGTGCAAATCATTGTAGTTTTCCCTTTAGCTTTTAGGTTATTTGAAAACCTATGATGGTCTTTTGGAAGACTTTAAGTTACTTTAAAGGAAACCATCTGGGGGCAGTTTGGCCACTCTCCTGTCCCAAACAGCGGTCGGTGAGATGGTGAGGCAAAGCGCTAGAAGGAACTCTAGGAGAGCTGCCTGGCGGAAAGGGACCTGGGGGTGTTGGTGGACAACCGGCTGAACATAAGCCAGCAGTGTGCCCAGGTGGCCAAGAAGGCCAACGGCATCCTGACCTGTATCAGAAATGGTGTGACCAGCAGGAGGAGGGAGGTGATCATGCCCCTGTACTCGGCACTCGTGAGACCTCACCTCGAGTACTGTGTCCAGTTTTGGTCACCACAGTACAAGAAGGACATCGAGGTGCTGGAGCGGGTGCAGAGAAGGGCAACAAGGCTTGTGAGAGGTCTGGAAAACCTGCCCTATGAAGAGCAGCTGAGGGAACTGGGTTTGTTTAGTCTGGAGAAGAGGAGGCTGAGAGGAGACCTTATTGCCCTCTACAACTACCTAAAAGGAGGCTGTAGTGAGGCTGGTGCTGGTCTCTTCTCTCTAATTACTAATGACAGGACAAGGGGAAATGGCCTCAGGTTGCGTCAGGGTAAGTTTAGATTGGATATTTGGAGGAAGTTCTTTACTGAACGAGTGGTGAGGCACTGGAACAGGCTGCCCAGGGAGGTGGTGGAGTCACCAACCCTGGAGGTGTTTAAAAGAAAAGTAGATCTAGCACTTGAGGCTATGGTGTAGTGGTTAGGTGTGCTGGGATGAAGGTTGGACTAGATGATCTCCAGAGGTCCCTTCCAACCCCGAACATTCTGTGATTCTGTAACTTGTCAGGAGGCCTTGCCTCAGTGTGCACTCATGGCCTCTGTTTGTCTTCAGCCTTTGTAAGGCTGGTGGGGACACTTGGTGCCACGGGTATCTTCAGGGCCAGGGAGCATGCGGAGGGGCAGCACGCTTCCGTGGGGTCAGTTACGTGTCTGCGGGCCACCGCTCTGTTGGGAGCAGCCAACCAGATGGGTACTCGCCCCAGAGCGGGGTGTGTGTCCCTTCAAAGATACTGATTCCTCACCAGCTCATTCCCTCTGCGTTTGGCGTGGCTTTTCTCAAAATGCGCCGGCTCCCTTTGGGATGAGGTTGGTTCTGGTAAAAGCGGAAGCGATGATGATAATGGTGTTGTATTTATTCAGAGAGGATGTGGAGCAGTTGTCAGACAGCACGGCGTACCTACCTGGGAATTCAACCTCCAGCTGGTAGATTGAGACTGAAAGGCAGAGCTGTGGGATAGAGACGGGCAGGCACAAAATGCAGAGGCTCCTCATCTTTTACAGTATGTTTGTTTAATGCAAAGTAGCCTGCTGAGATTGTTTTGCAGTGTGGAATAATCATTGTGTGCTGACTAATGGGAGACAGCAAGCTGTTAAAGATCATCAATTAACCATATAGGAGGAGGTTACTGAGTATTTTCATGAGCATTCAGGATGTGAACAGTAAAGAATATGACTTGAAGGTAACCCTCAGAGATTTTTAGCTGTTTAAATCTACGAACTGCAACAAGAGTATTTGTGGACATATGGTTGCAGAGCTTACTGGGAAGAACAGTGCAAAAAAACCTTGAGCTTGCTTTCCATCTCTAGATCATGCTGATACAAAATAGTAGTCTGCTAAATTTGTTCTCTTATTTCGTATTTGTTATTTTGAAAAGTCCCCCAGTTAAATTTATCTAACGTTGTCCCAGGAAGTATTGGTCCACTTTAAAGAAGATAACATGAAATGCCCTTCTGATACTCGGATGTCAGAATTTGTTACACTTCTGCTTCCTTGGCTGCCTAACTGTAGGGCTGTTGTCCTCGTCCTTACAGCTGCTTCTGCTTCAGTGTAGTAATGCCTGTTCCTGTTACTGCTGTGAGTTAAAACTCGATGCACTTAGTGCTGAGACAGCCATGCTCTTCCATCATCTGCCTTGCACAATGAGTAATAAAATTCTCCAATTTTGGCTGGTGGTGAATATGAAACCCTCTATTTCATTAAGAATACTTTGATACAGCCCTACTAGCATTCTGTCTGACTTTTAATGCAAAAAATAAATAACATTTTGTGGGCTCTGTTTGCTGAGTGATTTTGTTCTTTGTAAGTAACAGGAAATTTTTCCTATCCTGCATTCCAATATTAAATCCACTTTGTGCAAACATCATTTTCCATTTATTCATTGGCAGTGGGGAGGCCAGGTAACATTGAATTTATTTTTTTTTTAGTTTTGTTTTTTCTAAAGTGAAATTGGACCTCAGATTTTCTTTTAGCCCATAGCAGGAGATGTTCTGGGATTCCCTGGGAATTGTAATAAAGAGGGACCCTTGGTTCTCAGACAAGGGCAAAGATAGACTTCTGCTTCATCTCTCTATTCAAATGCATTAACAGAGGTCTCCTTTAACAGCTGGTTCTGCATCGATAAAGCCTTTAACATGTTAGGAAAAATTCAGAGAAATTTACTCTCTTTTCTGATTTGATTGATTTTTCTTAATCTTTTTTGAGCAGGGGAAGGGGGAGAATAACACATCAGAAGACTATGGAGAGGATTAATTACTTGGCTGCAAAGCTCAGAAAGATATTCTAGTGAAAAACTGGGAATAAGTGCGTGAGGTCCTGGGGAAGTTGGTGTCAGTGAGGAAGTTTGACTGTGACTGTGGTCCTTGTGCCTGTGGTGTTTATTACCGTAAGAGAATGTGATCTGAGCCCCCCTGTATGTCAAAAGCTTCTGAATTTGTTTCAATGATAACACCCTCCCTACTGGTCTATGGGAAAAGTCCTGTTTTCTCTACATCTGGCAGCTGGTGTGACGCTGAGCACTTGTAGTGGCGAAGGCTGGGGCAGCTTTGCTACCTCGAGGCTCTTGTCCTTACAGCCGGTGCCGCTTTGAGCTCTCGCTGATCTCTGGTGCTTCAGAGAGATGTCACAATATCCCTGACGTTACAGGGAACTTGTCAAAGCCCTAATAGGTGAGATACGGATATCTTAATGCAGATCAGCAGATTAAAACCCCAAGGAGCTGTTCAGCTTCACCGTGGCCAGGGGAAGAGAGGGCTTGCAGAGCAGTTCAAGGCTGGAAGGGGGTATCATTAGCACTGAGCTTGACCTGAGCTGAGCTCTGGCCGAAGGATTCATCCCTGGAGCCTCAGGGAAGCATTTCATGGTTCATTATCCTCGCGGGAGGAAACAGTGTCTTATTCTGAAGCAGAATGCCTAACTGTTCATCCATTTGATCTTCTTACGGCTTTGTCAGCAAAGTCTGGTCTCTTAGCGCTTTCTTTTCCACTTTAAGATTTACAACAAATTATATATACATATGTCTCTGTGAACAGAATAGTTTTATCTCTTGGAGTTTGATACTATAAGGCTTGTTTTCTGGGCTGCGAGTTGTTGAGTGACCTGCCTTTGAATCCTGCTGTTTCCCTGGGGTTTAGGTTGTTTTTTTGAAGCGTGAGCTCCAGAACCACACGCGAGTTCCAGGAGAGCTCTGGAGTTTGTGTAGGTTGCAGAGGCAGTATCACTTTTCTGAAACTTTGCTGCTTTTTGGCTGAGCTGGTTTGGCAGCTTGTTGCGCTATCGGAAACAGAAAATGCTCTTGGACCAAGAACAGTCTCCCTGAAGGCCTTAGCAGGGTACCTCTTCTTAGGGATGTTTCCCCACTAAAAAATACATTTTGAGATGAGTCACTGAATTCGTGTTTAATTCACTAGTGAAACTGGCAAGGCAACTACCATCCTGCAAGTTCTTCAAATCAAATTGTTAGACAACAATTAAATCAAAAGCTTTGGAGAAATCCTGGTATATAGAATTGCTTTTATCATCCAGTTTGTGATTCTCTCACAAGAAAACTTTTGTTTTACTGGGCCTTCCTTCAGTGAAAGCATCCTGCCCAGTACTCATTTTGGTCTTAGCTTTTACTTCTTTTGTCTTTGCTCCATTATTTTCCTTTTCCTGTTTGTTACCCCATAACAAGAATAGAGAATTAAGGAATTTCTAGCTTGCAGTTGTCATCCCTACTTTTTAGCATTGTCAAGTACAGGAAGCATTTTCTAACTGGAGTGTTAGTCACAAGGCAATTAATCTACTACGACAACGTGGAGGCTTAAAGCACGATGGTTATGAAGGTCACTCTGTTGGGTCTCTTTTTTTTTTTCTTCCTCCATGTGTTTTGCTCTGAAGGCAACCCACTCACTCTTCAGCAAGAGGAAATTGTTCAGAGCCCTCGATGTTTTACTCATCAGTGGAGGGGCTGTGAATGTGAATCTGCAAACAAATGACTACAGGCAGCTTTTTGGTCACCGAGGCAGCTCCCTGATACAAGGCATGCTGGCATAATTCAGCCTTTCACTGCTAGACACTGAGGTTTACACTCACAGTTGGCTCTCTTCTCTTTGGTATGTCCTAGTCCAAATGCGACATTTTGTATTATTTCCTGGTGGGAGGATCTTTTCACAGAAATCTACCATGTGGGAGTTTTTTTTCCCCTCATTTGTTCTCTCTACAGGTGAAAACAAGAGAGAAAGAACTACAGGAGGAGTTCTCTGCCACAGCTAGAAAGATACAGGAAAATGTTGAACTAAAACTGCTAGATCTTACACACCTTTGTGCTCCGAAAAAGAATAAAATGCACGGTTCGCACAGGCTGGTGTTCAGAAGTAAAGATCCTGCCAGCAAACCAGGCTTTGCTAGGGCTGTATCCAAGGAGTCTGCTTCAGCTGTCAGTGCCACGGAGGTGATCAGAGAGCTGCAGATGAGAGAGGCCAGCCTGGAGCGAGAGCTGAAGCAGCTGCAGGAAGAGTGCAGGCACAGGCTGGATGAAATTGCGGAAGGGTTGGATGGAGTGATTTGTATCTCCCCGTGAAGAGATAAAGCTGGACTGAGAAGAGCGAAAGAATGCGCTGACTTGATTAGAACACATTGTGCAGCTTGGCATGGGGGAGCGCAAGGTGAGGAGACAAAATGTAATTTCTAATTTTTAAGCCTGAGAATCATAACTTGTTACTGTTTTGTGACTTGCACAGGGGCCATAACCTTGGCGGTTCTCTCGGCAGCCTCTTTATTGCTAACCTTGCCAATTAAATTCTGCAGCAGGCCTTGCTGAGAGCCTGTGTAAATCTCCCTTTCATCTTCTGGATTTCCAGGTCTTCTGCCAAGCACTGGGCTCTTTTACAGTGCTCAGCTGCTAGGCATGGCATACACTGAAGTACTAATTGCATTCAATATTTTCCAGCAAGTAGGAAGAGTTCATTAGTCAAAAATCCAGGTATTGGAGAACATGCAAAGTACCAAGGCTTAGAGGGATTGGAAATGTTCAAGAAAGTGTGCTGTTTTAATTCAGCTGGTTTGCATATTTGTGGCAGCTGTAGTGCAGTCACCATAAGGAGAAACAAATGTGTAATAATAAATAAGGCAGCACACTGATTTCATTTACTGGTGTGATGCACTTGAAGTAATTGAGTTCTCAAAGAGAACAAACTAGAAACCCATTCCACCGAGTTATGAGTCACAATGAGATAACTTACAGATCTGCTATAGGAAGTTTCTGTAAAATAGAAATATCACCTAAACTTCTAAGCCTGAAAAGTCTCCAGGCTCTGTCTCTGGAGGCTTTTCCCCCTGGGACATGCAAATGTTTTTCACCTGACATTCATTTATTACCACTCTCTGTTTTGCTTTCAGCGAGAAATATTTTTATATTCTGGATGTACACTTTCAGGAATAAATAAATTTTTAAAAAAACCCGAACAGTTTGCTTTTCATATATGAATTACTATGAGCAATGGAGTTTCCTCTGAATTTCTGTCTACTCCCCCAGCTTGGTGGTGTCGCTGATTACCAGCTGCTCTTGCCTCATTTGGCAGCCAAATGTGAGGAACCTTTAAGGACCTCTGTCTGATGAGCATTGATACGATTGCTGCTCTGCCGGGAGACCACACGCAGGTGGGAGTGGGTGAACAACACTCAAGTTTCCTGGTTTCTGCTGCACCAAGTAAATCAGGTGCTTCCAGACTGTGCTCATCTGCACCATCCATATTTGTTCTCATGCAGCCTTTGCAGAACCAAGTGCAGACATGTGGAGAGTCACACAGGGAGGGCTGGTTTGCCCTGGTTTCACCCCGCTGAACGCAGCGTTGCTGGTAGCCCAGGAGTATCTGGGGTTCATTTAACGTGGACCAAATTTCAGACAGCCTTTCCTCTGCGTGGACCTGGTGGCTTGTCCAAGGACCAAGCTTGGAGCAAGGCTGTCGGGAAGTGTCATTCTCAGCCAAAGACCGACTCCCGTCAGCCCTACCCAAATGGGATGGCCCCCGGGAGCGGGGTCTTCGGGTGTGTTGACCGAGGCTGTCAGTCACAGCCAGCATGTCTGCTGGCAGCTGGCGCCCAGAGTGACAAACACAGCACTGGAGCAGAAAACCCCAGTGGGCTGGTGAGATCCACCCCCAGGCTGCTGCTTCTGGAAGAACAGCCCTGACCTTAAAAAGCCGTTCGCTCTGCTTTTCAAACCATCTCTGTAGGTGCAAGAGTACCAAGCACTGAGCTGTTTCAAGCTGGTACAACTCTGGGAGGATGTTGGCTCCGGGGCTGCTGAAATTCAGTGTGCCAGAGGACCTGCTCAGGCACAGCCTTCACAGAAAATTATTCATGAATGGGAAAGAAACAGTATATCCTAGAACTAACAAGAGTGGCAACACCAGTCTTTCTCTCTGAGCATTTTATATCCTCCTTCAGAGAGAGTTTTCATACTGCATCACATTTAGGTTTAAAACATTGCCCTTAAAAGATCCTTTGTTCTCCTGGGATTTTCAGCACAGAGGAGTGCGAAAAATATTCTTGAGCATGGTAAGAACACTCAGATTCAGGTGTGGGTCTAGCTCATGCTGTGGCTTGCCAGGGTTGGCTTAATGCTGAATGCCGTGATGTATTGTGCTGCTGACCACTTAAACTGACAGTAGTCGCTCACGGGATGACTTGTTTTCTAGTAGCAAGTATTTGTCACCACGCAGCACATAGTGCACTGTGCTTCAGCATTCATCCAAGGATCCTGTTTTGGCAGAGCCCACAACTGGCAGCACCTTTTCCCTGCTTGACCCCAGAGAATTGTTTTTCTCTCTTGTGGAATGTAAAACCGATGGCACTCAGTATATCTGTATATTTGTGCCTGACGAGTAAAAGTGCCTCCAGTGAATTGCAGGCAGCTGCATTTACCGTGTGGCACAAATCACTGCACTGAGGTGGCCGTAAGGGAATCTGTCAGGAGAGCCAGCAGGTTGGAGCTGGAGCAGCTTGTCCTGCTGTGTACATCGAGAGGGGCTGCAGCTGAAAGCAGCTTAAAAGATCAGCCTTCCCACCTGTGGTGCTGCCCTGGCACCGTGTGCTTCAGACACCTCATGCAAGCAGTGCAGGCAAGTCTAGTTTTTGTTTCCTGGCACCGATTTCCTACTGCCGCTTGTTTTGGGTACCAATTAGCAGTCTGAGTCAGAGCAGATATTCTGCGGTCCCCGTTGAAGGTCAGCAGGGTGTTTTGAGCTGACAGTGGTTTTAAAACCACTACCTGCAGGCTCCCCTTTGCTTTGCCTCTCTTCTCAGCACCAGCACAGACAGCATAATGCAGGGAGGTACTTGTGAGGGCTTGGTGCTCTCACACACTAAATTTTGGAGGGTGGCTTTCCTGTGAAGGCTGCCTTCTAAAAATCACAGCCCTGCCACAGGAGTTGTGCACAGAGGGACTGAGCTATGGTCGTGCCTCCGTGACTCACCACAACTTTTGATTGCTTTTGAGGTGTTTTGATACAGCTGAAATACAGATACTTTCCCGTCCTTACGGACTTGGTGAGGCATCAGCTGTCTCTCCAGTGCTACTGGGAGGTGCTGTAGGTGAAACACCACTTAAAAACCTAAGAAAATCATCTCTGGATTAACACCAGCTGCAACGAGGGCAGAAGAGTGAACTGGGTGACTGCAGTCACACTTAGTGGGAAATAACTTAGAAACTAATAATGCTTGTCACCTCATACCATTACCATGGCATTTGAAATGTTTTGCTTGCTTTGTTTAGGCTGGTTTCTCTCACCCACCATCATAGCCCACTGGTTCCAAAGGCAGCAATGACTTTCTTCAGTCACCAGGGCTTGGCCCCTTGTCAGCAATGGAAGATGTTGCAGAAGGGGGAATGGCTGCCCTGGAAGACATGTGGCAACGAGCAACCAAGTGACTGGTTGGTCTCTGGCAGATGCTGTGACAGGTGGAGGATGACTCAAACAGTACATTTCATCCATGGGCTTAAGCATGCTTGGTAAATGTTAAGTGTTACTTCACAGAAATTGGAGAGTGTTGTAAGCAGCCCACTACACACCGAAAAGCAAAGGTACGAGCTGTTAAGCTCTTTGTCCTTTGCCACATCACCATGCTGGTTGTACATTTCCTTGTGAAAGCAGGAATCTGCCCTAAAATTGTCAATGGGTTTGGACAGAAAAGGGCAGGTGTTGGCTGGAGAAGCTGGTAGAGAGCGAGTCGCACGTCGTGTGCAACCAGTTGCTAAATGCAAGCGGTGAGGAAAGGCTGGTGTTGAGGCTGCTGCCCTAACATCGGGAATAGGTAGCAGGGTTTGTTTTGGTTTAGTTTTTGGTTTTTGAAGATGCTACACCTGAAGTTCTCCCCGTTGGCGCATTCTAAAGGATGTTAATTTAGTCTAGGTTTGGATCCAGGGTTTCTAAGTGATCTCAGGAAGTGAGGAGCGAATTAGAGGTGATGGCCCATGCTGGAAAAGCAGGAAACTGGGATTAAATCAGCACCCGCCAGAGATGCCGCATGAGTTGTGAGATACACCTGACAAGCGTCAGACAGTGAAGAGCAGTCCCACCTGGTGACAGCTCACAGCAAAGCTTTTCCCCAGGAAGCTCCTGCAGCAGCTAACCCTTGCAGGGCTGGGAGCACGTGGCCTTTTGCTTCCTGCTTTAGTAATGCTTAACTGAAGACAGGCAGAGTTACTGCTGCAGTGTCTAAATGACACGTTTTCTGGTGATGGGTTGCTTCTAAGCTTAGCTTTAAGAGAAGCCTTTGCAGTGCTTCTGCATGTGTAGTTTCTGGTAGGCCAGCATGGAGGTGTTTGTAGAAGAGCAGTTTAACCCAGTTCTCTGATGTAACTGGTGCTTACTTGCTTTCCAAACATCTTGCTAGGAAAACGGAGTTGGCCATAAATACTTAATTGGTTGATAACTGACTCGCACTGTGTAGCTAGAAATATTCCTCCCCAAATAACAGAGCATCAGTCAGCTTGCAGTCAAAACAGGAGGTTTACTTTGCAAAAGGCAAGCAAGGCATCGGCAGTCACTGCTCCTGACAACATAGCGCCTGCTGGTAAATAAGGGCTGCAACCTGTGTTTAAAAATAAGAGCTGCTGGGAGTAGTGATTTCCAGCCTAGAGTGTTTTGGGTTCCCTGTGGGATTCCTGCACTAGCTCCTGCAGGAGGATGAGCTGGTAGCAGTTGGTGTGAGCATGTGTGCATGGCAGCGTGGTGCTCACTCCGTGGGAGTTAACACACGCCTGATGGTCGAGCTCCCTCTCCTCTGACCCTCAGCCATTTGCAGCCAGAGCCTCGAGTCTCTCACCCTCACCCATCACCTGCTGGAGCCAACAGCTTATGTGAAGCAGTGTACTGGTACTGCTGCTCCTCCACTGACAGCCCAAATCCCTGCAGCCACTGTCCTGTAGCCTCCAAGCTGGGAAGCTTCTTATTCTCCCAGCCCCTCTGTACCTGCCCGGTGTCCCAGCTGCCAGGCCACGGCCAGATCGTTGTCCTTAAGGGGTTTTTCCCCAGCGCTCTGAAATGTTGGAGACAAGGAAACAGAGGTGTGCAGCCC